TGATATTCAGGCAAGTTTTATTTATTAAAAGACAAATGAAATGCCACTACAACAAAGAACAAGTACGACATTTCCTTATAATTTCTTTGATTTATTGCCAAGTGGTAGCAAAATCTTTTTTAAAAAGATTGTTGAGGGCTAGAGAGATGGCTCAGCGGTTAAGAGCATTGCCTGTTCTTCCAAAGGTCCTGAGTTCAATTCCCAGCAACCATGGCTCACAACCATCTGTAATGAGGTCTGGTGCCCTCTTCTGGCCTCCAGGCACACAATCAGACAGCATATTGTATACATAATAAATAAATAAATATTTAAAAAAAATAAATAAAAAGATTGTTGACATGGTGTTTCTTATGAAATTCTGAGGTTTCTAACACATTTCCTACCACTAGCTGATAAATTTCATTATTACCTTGTGCTAGAGGGCCTAGTAGACCCGATGGGATCTAATATTGTTATATACAAAGGATGATTTCTGTTTCTGATTACTTGTTGTAGTTGAATAAATAGCAAAGTTAATTCTGAATCATCTGGAATAAGTTCAGCAGTTCCGATATGTAAAACAACTCTTTCTGCATATTGAGAGTCAATATCTATATTAAGAGATTCTAGAAAATCTAATAATACCATGAGAATAGTATATAATTCTGATTTCCAAACTGATTCATAAGGGCTTTGAGCCATTCTACTTAATTTTCTTGACTTAGAGCCCGCCTTTCCTGATTTGTATGCATTAGTATGGAATGTAGGAGCTCCAAATATTGGTGGTCCCTTTATTATATGAGGGAGAATCCAATTAGTTCTTTTTATAAACTGATGTCTCTTGCTTTTGGGATTTTTGTTCCTAATCTTTTCCAGGAAATTACTGCAAGTTCTTTGCCATGCCAGTGTTTATTTTCTGCCTATAATGGGACAATTTCAACATTGGCAAAAAGGTACACAATTTCTGCTGGGTACCTCTATTGCTATTAATTGATGAACTCTCAATTTCCATTTCAGAATCAAATAAGAAAACGTTTCTACATAGGTATTTAATTTTTACTTTGTTTATGTGGTAAAAATATCCATTCAATGATATTATACTCTTTCTGCATAAGAATTTCTTTAGGAGAGTGAGCAGAAGTAAAATAACCCAGAATACAGTTGGAGCTCTGGATCCAGTCTACATGTGCATCCTGTAATTTCCTTTCTACCAGAGCCAATTCTCTCTCAGCCTCAGCTGATAGCTTCCTTGGGCTACAAGTTCTCATCACCTTATAAAGTTTGAAATAAATAACTTAGTTCTTGAGTTGTTAATCCAATTGTGGACCAGTTCATATCTCCCAGCAATTTTTGAACATCATTAAGAGTTTGTAATTGATCTTTCCTGATTTGTACTTTCTGTGTTTGAGTTTTCTGTAAACCTATTGTATATGCTAAATAATTAATAGTAACAGCTCTTCATATTTTTTTTTCAGGAGCAATTTGTAATCACCAACAAGGCAAAATTCTCTTAACCTCATCAAACTTTTTTTCTAAAGTATCTGTATCTGAATCAGCCAGTAAGATATCATCCATATAATGGTAAATTATAGATTGAGGAAACTTTATGAATTAGTTCTAATGACATAAGGTAGGGCTGTTTAATATTCCTTGTCGAGGAATTTTCCAGTGGTACCTTTTAACGGGCTAGGAATTATTATAAGTAATCATTATGAAGGCAATTTTTTTTCTGTCCCGATCTTGTAAAGGTATAGTAAAAAAGCAGTTTTTTTAAAAAATCAATCACTATAGTAGACCATCCCTTAGGTAATAAAGAAGGCAATGGAATTTCACTGTAAAGAACTCATTGGCTGAATCACATTATTTATTGCTCTTAAATCTGTTAACATTCTCCATTTTCCAGTTTTCCCTTTAATAACAAATATAGGAGAGTTCCAAGGAATGGTTGATTCTTCAATATATTGAGCATTTAAATGCTTGGCTACCAGCTGTTCTAATGCCTGTCAATTTTCTGGGGTCAAAGGCCATTGTTCCACCCACACAAATTTATCAGTTAACTATTTTAAAGGAAGCATTGTTAGTACCTTTTAAATATCAGCAGCTGTTTTTCTCTGCCTATGCACAACCTGAACATTTGGTGACTGCCCTTGATAATACCTTTAATATTTTTCTTAGAAGCATATGTTAATTTACAGTTTGTTTCTGAGATTGGAGGAATGTGTTTCCTATTGCTGCATCTAATTACATCTCCATATATTTGTTATATTAGCCATATGTGACTTTAAATTTCCTGTCTTTTTCTGACCCAATACACTCGACCTATCTTTCACTTTGTTTTACCTGAGATAAAGTTATAAACCCTAGAAGCTGAGCATTTACTTCCTGAAGAGGTACCTCTGGATGCCAAGACTTTGGTGGGATTATTGTTATATCTGAACCTGTGTCTACGAAATCCTCAATCATAATATCATTTATTTGTATTTTTAGCTTTGGTCTTTGATCATTTATAGAAGTTTGTCAAAATACTTGTTTTATGGCCTCTCCTGAAAATTTAGTTTTATCTACTGATGCTGTTCTATTATCCAAAGCAGTATGGTTTTTAACAACAGGCATTAAGTCTTTTAATTGCTCTGTGGTAGAGTTTCCCCAATGCTGACAGGGAATGATTGAAAAAAATTGACTTTGGAGTCTGCAAAAGGTCCCCTAAAGCATTTCCCAGTGGCAAAGGTTACCTGTCTCTTGTTTATTTGCATTCTTTAGTCCAGTGCTGGTCTTTGTCACACCTTCTGCATACTCCAGAAGGTTGGGGCCTTCTGTTTGGATTATCCCTAGAACAAACATTGTTTCTAGGAATACCTTGCCTACAGTCCATTTCCAGATAACCTAATTTACCAAATTAAACATCTAACCTTTTGATTTTTCTTATAATTCTTAGAAATCAATTCTCCTATCAAAGTATCATCATAAATGTGAGATCCAATATCAGGTATATTTCACATCCATTCATTTTTGGGTACTGATCTTGCCTTTAAAGGTCTAATCACCCTTTTGCATTCTGAATTAGCATTTTTAAAAGACAAATTTCAATTAATATTAGTCTAACAACTGGCTGGATCAGATAACATTTTATCTACAAGTGAAGTCAATCCTTGTAAATAATCAGTGAAGGCTTCTTTGGGGCCTTGTATAATTTTAGTAAATGATTCATCCCTCTCTCCTCTTCATCAGCCCTGTCCCACACATTCAAAGCAGCTCTACGGCACAGTATCAAGGTGTTATTATAAACAGAGACTGCCTTTACAAATCGACATGCTGGTCCTCATGTAAAAGCTGGTCTTGGGAAATCTCAAGATCTCTAGCCCTACCTTGTTGTTCTATGACCTTAGTTTCCTCTTCTACCGTGTTTTCCATTGTAACTGAGGACCAGCTTCCACTACTGCTGTAGCTAAATCTTTCCAGTTTTGTGAAGTAATGTGTTCCTAGCGGTCCATGAATTTAACATGTTTCACAAACGGTGAATGGAAACCAAATAAAACGACTGCTTCCTTAAATCTCTTCAACTCTTAACAAGTCTACAGGATTCCCATTAACTTCTGCATAGCTCTGAGGGTGCCTGTCATCGAGTGGACATTCTTGTATGGTAACTGGATAAATTAAGGTCAGTGGTGTTCTATTAACCTTAGGTCTTCCCTTCAGCTTCATAATGCAATGGTGTGATAGGTTCTGCTCTAAATTCCCCTGTCTGATTTTCATTAGTAGTAGGTCTTTTGAAAGCTTGTATTTCATCAATAGTAAGTCCTTCTAAGGCTTGTGTTGCATCAGCCAAAACATTCTTATTTTTGTTAGTAAGTCTTTCTAAGGCTTGTATCTTATCAGTAGTTGTATGTATTTCTAAAGCTTGTATTTTATTAGTCAAATCATCATATTTGGCACAGTCAAACTACTTTTTTTAAGGGTAAAACTACCAAACTGTCACATGTGACTCCTGTTGAGACCCAGCCATCTGTTTCCTCATTCCTTCAGGACCTACCCACTAGTGAAGGTGCACATAAGTCAAAGGGAAAGGGCAGAAAGCTGCCTCAGATTCCCTTTTTTATGACAGCTATCCCCTCCGTCACTCCCCACCTGTCAGTCAGTTTACTTCTCTAGGGTGCTCACTGCTTCTGCTGCTGAGGCAAACACTTCTCAGCTAGTTCACGTCACCTGACCTCAGACAGTGGGGGCGGTGGTGCGTGTGGCATTCCGAAGACTTCAGTTTAGACTGTTGTGTGATCTTGAGAAAGTCAGCCACGTCCTCGTCAGAACCCAGTGGCATTTAAAGCGTAGCGGCTAAGTCGGTCTGTCCTTTCCAGCTGAACAAGGAGAGGGAGTTAGGCCTGCCTGGGAAGCAGACACCTAGGTCAGCGTGGGGGCGGTAGTGACCAGTGGGTGTGCTCAGAGGGAGCCAGATGGACAGACAGCAGGGAGCCATACCCTGTCTCTGTACCATTTTAAACAAATGTATTTATCCAGGCAGGGAGAGAAGCGTCATTGAGGACCAAATCACATGGTGACCTACGTCTGCTAAGACCTTGGGAAAGGCTAATACCTCACATAGAAACTGACCTCAGGCAAGGCAAGTGAAGTGAAAGCACCAGAGGGAGGGGTCTTCACGCCTGGCCACGTGAGCTATCTCCTCATGGGTTTTTGCTGCCTTTGCTTTGCTGTCTTTTGCTTGTTTTTACGGCAGCAATGCTCTTTAGCGGGATGCTTTTCATGCTCACTTTCCCAGGTGGCTTCTGTGTTGCTCACTGGTAAGTGTGAGGGTCACCACTTTTTTTCTGATCAATGCAGTGGGTAGAAACTGCTGTTTGTGGCCTGGAAATATCTACTCTGGGCAGAAGAGGTAGGGGGTGGGGCACTCTGAAGGCAAGCAAGGAATGCGTGCTCACTGTCTCTGTGATGTCACAATCAGCTTCACTTGTAACTTGGTCCAGCCTCTCGTAGCCAAGCAGGGACGCCACTCCTGGCTTTCTGTCTGGGTGGGATGGCCGCTGGAAACCCAGTCAGAGCAATCCCAAAGTCCTTGGGAATTTGTTTATGTTTAGAATAGCTGAGCTATGTCTTCTTTGTGGCTTAGTCCAGCTGGTCAGGAGGCAACAGCCAGTTTCAGCCGGTCTGAGCTCTTGAGGGCTGCGATTCCTTCCGGGTGATACTTGGAAATTGGCACCATGGAGATGAAGAGGAAGCCCTGCCCACCATGGTCAGCACAGGCCCCACGAGGGCCCGGAAGGTCAGTAAGCATTTACTGAATGAGGGGTGGACACTAATGGGAACAAGTGAGAAGGGCCTTGGGTAAGGTCCACACTTCATCGGCCACGTAGGAAGCAATGTTAGACAGTGTCGTTTGGGAGTTAATTTTATCATTCCACCAAGAGCCCTGATGGGTGAGCATTGTCTGGGCACTGCAGTGTAGCAAGGCCGCCTTCTCCAGGGAGGCACTGTGGATGGATTTTGAAGGCTGAGTGGGCTGCTGTGGTGTTGGAGCTAAGCGTGGCTCTGTTCACATAGGCCAGACTCAAAGTTGGAGATCTGTGTGGTACTTTTGCTCTTTAAGTCGTTTCCCCAAGCTTCAAGTTTGAGGTGGGGTCTGAGGAGTGTGTGTGTGGGTGGAGGGGGAGGTGGTCTATGACCTCAGGCGTGTGTTCTAGGATGCAAACTTGGCTGGGAATGTATCCACAAGGACTGACAGGAAGTCTGGCTTTTTCACCTCCTATGTATCTGGCCTCTGAGGCCCTTGGTCTGTTGGAGAATATACTGAACTACCATGAACAACTGGGGGAGGGGAGAAAAGCTTGCTTCAAGGCCCTTAAGCCCATTTTCCTGATGAGGTACAGGAGGAAGGAAATGGTGTTAATACACAGTAGACTCATGGTCCAGTCAATCTTTTATTTAGTTTATATAAAGCCCAGAGGATAGGGTCTGGGGAGATGGCTCAATGGTAAGATGCATGCCACACAAGCAGGAGGATCTGAGTTTGCAATCCTATACCCATGTAAAAAGCCCCAGTGGGGAGACAGGAGGATCCTTGGCGTTCATTGGCCAGCCGGTGTAGCCAAACTGTGAAGTCTAGATTCAGTGGGAGATATTGTAGAGGGCTAGAAAACGCTCAGTAATGACCTTTGACCTCCACACATAGCACATACATCCGCACGGTATGTCCACACATGAACACATACATGCACATACAAACACATATAGGTGCTAGTGGAACACATTAACACCATGCTAATGTATTCTACCAGGATTAATATAGAAATTATGATAGATGATAAATTTCTTCCAGTTTTAGTATATGTGCTGCTGAAGGGAACACAGACAAATTTCTGAATAAAAAGTCACCAAGAAAAAGAGAAGTTTGAGAGAGAGGGCTTCTAGGAAGTCTGCAGGTGGCACTATCTTCCTGCCCACCACCTTCTTCTTGCCCTTTTTACATCACTGGAGACCCCCACTCTCACACTCACATATACACACTCACACACATACACACACTCAAACACACACTCTCACACACTCACTCACACTCACACACACACTCAAACACTCTCTCATACACACATGCTATCTTACACACATACACACTCACACTCATCTATCCACTGTTTCTCTTCCTTGTTTATGATGAAAACACCCGGAGTCCTCTGTTCCAGCTTAAAGCCCCACACAGCACCTTGTTGTCCTTGGTCACTGTGCTGTGAGATGGCATACTGCAGTGCCGTCCTGAGAGCCCGGCCGCCAGCTTTCCTCCTCACCTTGTCCCCACTCTCCCAGCCTCTCAATCACCCTTCTGCTTGGATGCCACATGAAAGAGGTCATGGGACAGTTGTCTTTCTGTGTGGCTTTATCTCACTTAACACCATGGATGGAGTCACGTGTGACTGGTTGGTTGTTCATTCTTTTTTATGGATGAGTAGTATTCCGTTGTGCCCTGTTTCCTTTATTCATTTGTCAGCAGATGCACACCTGGCTTGTTTCCTTTCTGGGCTGTTGTGACGTGGGCTGAGATGATGTTGGCAGTGCAGCCGTGTCTCTAGCGTGTCATCACTGTCCTTTCTGTGGACCAGATGGTCCCCGATAATGGAATGGCTGAATTGTGTGGTGGTTCTATGATTTTTGTTCTACCACGTCTAATTCTGTGGCTTGCTGGATGAAGGCTGTGCACTGGGGACACCTGTGACCCCTGCTTGTCGCTTGAGGACATTTGTTCTGTTCTTTCCATTATTCTTGGCCAGCAAAGGAGGCTGTCAGGGAGTTCCTGGCCTTCTATTGATTCCCCAGTGTGATGGACAGGGAGCTAGTAAGAAAAGCTGGGAGGTGCCTCCCGCATCACCCAGAGCCCTCCCACTCATGACAGTGCTCTTTGAGCGGCCTTCCCTCCTCACTCCCCTCCTGGTTTTACTGGGCAGTCCCCCATCCCACCCCAAACTATTTCCACCCTTCTTCTGGAGAGGCAGCTTCTGCCTCTCTCTCTTCTCCCCTCCCCCTTCTGAATGATAACAGTAAGGTGGTGGGTTTTTTCCCTTAGCACATGGCCCACTATTCCAACGTGATCTTGATGTGGGACAAATGCAACAGGGATGTAATTGAAGGGATTTAACAAAGGGATATAACAAGAGGAAGAATGGAAACACTTACGGGGTGGGGGAAGGACGCAAGACAGGTCTTTAGTCCTGGGGGAGATTTAGGAGCATGAATTATTGAAGTACTGGCCAAAAGGTCTGCATTTTCCCAGAGGAAATGGGATGCAGCCAGGAAACAGAAAGGAAGCCAGTCCACACACTGAGTCTGCCTCTGGGTGGGTCAGCTGCTCAGGCCCAGCACAGGTGTCCTGGGCTGCTGTTAGCAGGACAACAGACAGAGTGCACCCTTCAGGGGAGCTAGGTCCCGCTCAGGTAGCATGAGGTTGGTTGTGGAGAATTCGAAGACCTGTATGTATTGTCCTGGGCCACAAAGCTTGCAAGCCATAGAACTGGGGTTTCTACTCTGCCCTCTGGCTTTGGGTCTTCTGTGTTGCTCCTCCTACCCACCAAGGACCTTCCTCTTCCTATGCTCTGTCCTCTCTTGACGTGGGAGGCAGTGCGGTCAATAGGGGCCAGAGCAGTTTTGGCATTTCTTGCTAAATGAGGTCCTGTGGGTGTGGCAGCAGCTGGTGTCACAGTGGGAGCTTGGTGACTCTGGGGGGGGGGGGAGGATGGGAAGATTGCAAGTCTTGACTCTCCGCTTTGGACATTTACTGGGCTTCGTGGTGAACAGTAAGGTTCCATTCAACTTGTTTGTTAGCTCAGTTCTGCCGAGAGACTGGGTTCCTTTCCTGACACCCTCCTCCCTGCTTCCGCTTCCCAAAGCTGCTTATCTTAGGGCATTTTAGGGCTCCCTGACCCTTCCTACCTGCTTGTCCTGCTCTCACAAAGCCCACTCTTTATCTTTCTAATTTGGTTTTAAAACGTGTGTGTGTGTGTGCACACGTGTGTGAGTGCAGAAGAGCGTGTTGAATGCCCTGGAGCTGAAGTGACAGGTGGTTGTGAGCTGCCTATGCTGAGAACTGAGCTCAGGTCCCCAGGAAAAGCACCATGTATTCCTGACCTGTTGTAGGAAGGCCCCTTGTTTGTTCCAGACAGCTCAGTCCCGAAATAACCACACAGAAACTGTATTAATTAAATCACTGCTTTGCCTATTAGCTCTAGCTTCTTATTGGCTAGCTCTTACATATTAACTTAACCCATTTCTATTAATCTGTGTATTGCCACGAGGCTGTGGCTTACCAGGTAAAGTTCTGGCAGTGTCTGTCTCTGGCGGAGCTACACGGCTTCTCACTGGCTCTGCCTCCTTTCTCTTAGCATTCAGTTTAGTTTCCCCCTCCAGCTCTGTTCTTCCCTGCTCTGCTATAAGCTCAAAGCAGTTTCTTTATTAACCAATGGTATTTACAGCATACAGAGAGGAATCCCACATCACTGACAACCTAACCATCTCTCCACTGAGCCATCTTCCTCATCTTTTTGGTGTCTTTTGTGCATGTTATATACTCTGGAACAATCTGACACCTGTCGTTTCTTATTTTTCCAACCCATGGAAAACCTGCTGCTGGAGAGAACCTCCCGGCATGCTGACCTCTCAGCAGTCTTTGTCGGGAAGATAGGTCATCTGTGTCTCAGGATGGCTTCTGCTTCCACTCTTTCTTCAGGGGGGCTCTTCCCCATCTGCACAGCAGTCGCCCTGTCTTCTCCTTCTGCCTCTTTGTCTACAATCCTTTGACTCCACTTGGACTCCTCCCCTGATGCTTCCCTCAGTCTTCTGTGTCTCACTCTGTCTTGGACCTTGATTGTCAGAGTTTATAAAGCATAGCTCATATTACTTTATTTTCCTCTGTATATGTGCACTCACGTGTATACATGTATTTAGAGGCCAGAGGTCAACTTTGGCTGTCATTTCTTAGGAGTCATTTTCCTTATTTGTTTATTTATTTTGTCAGGGTCTCTTAATGGGACATGGGGCTCCCCAAATAGGCAAGATTGGCTCTAGGTCTTTACAGAGTCTCCTGTCCTTGACTCCTCAGCACTGAGATTATGTACACACCACTGTGCCTGGCTGTTTAAGTGTAGATTCTGGGGATTAACTCAAGTCCTCAAGCTTGCAACAGTGACTGACACTGTTGTAGCTTACACCTGAAATAACCACACAGAAACTGTATTAATTAAATCACTGCCTGGTCCATTAGCTCTAGCTTCTTAATGGCTAACTCTCACATCTTGATTTAACCCATTCATAATAATCTGTATCACCACTTGGCTGTGGCTTATCAGCATGAGTCTAACCAGCGTCCCTCTCAGGCAGGAAAAGCATGGTGTCTGCCACACTGCCTTCTTCCTCCCAGCATTCTGTTCTGTCTTCCCCGCCTATCTAAGTTCTGCCCTATCAAAAGGTCAAGGCAGTTTCTTTATTCAGCCAATGAAAGCAGCACAAATACAGAAGGACCTCCTACACTATGCTCGCTGTCACTTGTCTTCTCCTTCATCCCATGAGGAGCTCAGTCAGGGTCTCCAGTGTCTTCCTACAAGATGAACCCATAGGCATTTGTAACTTTGTCGCATGTGATCATCTCCTTGAAACATCTGGTGTGGTTCCCACCCCTCCACTCTGCTGGGAAAGCTCTGGACTCTGCTGTTTGTTGTGTCTGTCTGTCTGTCCATCCTCTTTCTGTCACCTTTTTCAAATCATGACCACCTGGTGTTGGTT